GACTTTGAACATTGACCAGCATGCATTCATGCATCGATTATTTATATTGCTCATGATTTGAGGATCGCAGGGCTGCTGGAGTCAACCCCAGCTAACAATGAGTGAGAGGCAGGGAAGCACATTGAGTCTATGCTTGTCATTTGAAATTTCCAAAAACCTCAAAGCAAGTATTTGAAGGAAATGATACATCAGCTGTTGGTCATCTGCAACAGAAACAAAAGCACTTGCAGACACGATTCGTCATTGAGACCCCCGGGGAAAGTTTCAGGACAGTTTCAGATCACAGAGGATCCAGCCTCTATACCGCATCATGTGAGAAATTCATTACCACGACTACATTCACTACGTGTTCTTTTTGTTTCACTATACAACAGGTAATACTCTCACTGAGCAGACAGACCTGGAAGTCTGCTGAAACATTTCGGTCGTTTCTCAAGTTAAACGTGCTGAAAAGTCATGTATCACCACTGTGTGCTGTGAGAGTCTACCTTGTATTACCTGTCATTTATTTCCAAAGTGAGCACAAGGGATACACGTAACTGTAGAGTGCTGTAAAACACAGACCATTAGGAGAGAGAATATGGTCAGCATAAATACTGCTGGACTAAAGGGCTGACAAGGCAGACAACTCAGGAGTGGAAGAAACCTGATACCTGTGTGTGAGAGAGAGAGAGAGAGAGAGAGAGAGAGAGAGAGAGAGAGAGAGAGAGAGTGCATGTGTTTGAGCTACATCACCATCTTTTTTACACAGACTTTAAATTAAACTTAAGAAGCTGTAAAAACAGGAGTGGATGTCTTAGATTTACAGAAACGGAGACAGAGAGGCTGCGACCCCCCACTGGGCGGCTGCTGCTCAACCAGCTCCTGGGGGCTACAATCACCTGGGTGACTACGTTTATGGATCCACTTTAGGGTCAGTGCACACTGAGATGATTTCCAATGACATTGTTACCCAGGAACCTGTTCTGCACAATTCACGGAGAAATCTGTTGACTGGGCACTAAAGGTTCCATCATCAGTGGTTCATCACATTTCCCGCTCGCTGCACTTTGTCTCTAAAACGGGTTGAGCGGGAAAAAAACAAAAAACATACCAGCTGCTGTAGATTCAGGGAAAAGCTTTCTATTTGCAGCCAACCCAAGATAGCAGCAAATAATCTGATGCATCATTCAGTAGATTTCTGCCATATTGTGTTTTATCTTTTCCTTCCTTCCATTATAATGTCACTTAATAATGTCTTGTTAAACAAGTACCAACTGAGACCTGACAGCACAGCTCACAACCGTACAAGGTGCACTGCTACTAACACAAGTGAATCACACTGTCCCTGCATGTATGCACTTGCTAACAACTGAAAAAACAGAACTGCAAATAAAACGGAAGCAAAGAACAATAAAAGCCTGAAACTGAAGCAGATATCTGAGCTCAATGGGACTATAAATTCACTATATGCTACATGGACACCTGCATGCACTGACGAGAGGGTGAACGTAATGGACTTAAACTGGCAAAAATCAGTACCTAAACTATGTAACTGCAGCAAAAGCAAAAGACATGCAATAGCGTTCGTGATATCACAATAAATATCTAAAGGAGAAAAAAAATTGTCATATCCACACATAAGAGATGGTAACAACTGTGCATGAGTTCCACTACAAGGGTCTGAATCCAAATGCACATGAGCTAAAAAACTCAAGCGAATACGAAGACAATAGCAGACAAAGCAGCTCATCTTATTTTGCATGGATGTCGCCATTTGGATTTGATTTGTAGTGTGAATATATAAACCCCTGTATGCATGGAATGTATGGAGTACAATACAAACAGCATGTAAATGCATCCACTAACTGAGGCCTCACTGGAACTGAAGCACAAAGGGAGGCGGTGTTTGTTATAGATCCTGAAGTGCGTCTGTTGAAACAATATTTGCATCTGCTGTTTGCAGATAATATTGATTTTCAGACAATCTCAATATGCATAAGTGCTTATCATCACTTTAGTTATGTGGTCAGAGCGAGTGTCAACATTTCAGGTTTCCCTAAAGAAAAGGCAGCAGCTCTAACAAGGCGAAGTGTCAACAGGTGAACATGTTATCAAGTCGTTTTTAAAACAAAGCAGCCAACGAGAGATTCATTCTCTGCTCAGCAAAACAGGAGGATATGTGCTGAAGCTGCATGAGCGTGGCCCCAGATTGTGCCTCTCGTGCATTAATACATATGTGGGACACAAAGGCAACAGCAAGCGAAAAATTACTTCACCAGCATAACTGAAAATAACAAAGTGGCCATTACAAGTCAGCAGACCTGTAGATGGTGTCTACAGTCATTTAAGGTCATTTAAAATACATTGTTCTGAGGGAACTCTCTAGATCCTCAAAGACATCTTAATTATTTCATCTAGCTGCTATATTTAAAAATTAAGTTCAAGCCATTCCTATCCAAGCAGCCAAGAGATCTATCTTTGGTTTGATTTACAGAGGTGTAACTTAGAGGAGTCTTTGAGGAACCAGAGTTTAGTTTCAGAACAAGTGTGACATTCAGAGTCACTAGTAAATCCTCTTCTTGAGAAATCCCGTTTGAGTCTGTGCAGTGGTGATCAGGGGCTGGAACCAAAGGGAGGCCCTGCTGATACATGCCTCGACCAATCACAAGTCACTCTCAGATGTCAACCCTGAAGTTTCCCCCCATTTTTATAGCATCAAATAACTAATTAAAACAGAACTTATCCGAAAACACTTGGACATACATCAGTGGAATAATGTACTTGATGTTTATTATGACATTTTAGTTTGGTCCATGTCCTATCCACTAACATGGATGAGGCTGGGGTTCAGATCGATACTGCAGCCAGCCACCAGGTGGCAATCGAGACACTTTGGCCTCATTTTTGGGGCGCTGTCATGTCGTCCATCTTATACAGTCTTTGTTTGATGTACAGCTAGAGGCTAATGCCAGCACACCAACACAACAGTGCTGCTGCTTAGAAATAAATGCGTATAAAGTCAACTGTCATAGTTGCCTGTTAACAAGCAACCATTTGCTAATTAGCGACAAACATAACATGTAAATGAGGCTAAAAGAAATGTCATTGTTTTTTTTAAGTATTAAGTCCTGAACCAAAGTATCCATCCATCCATCCATTATTTTCACTGCTTTATCCTTACGGGACACAGAAGCCAATTCCAGCTTCCACTGGGTGGACAGATCACAAATATCTCTTTAGGAATTTAAGTCTGGATCAAAATGGATCAACCAGCTAAGAAGCAGACATTGTCATCAATAGAGCCATGATATCAGCATGGCTAAAAATAACTAATGTCTATCACAAGCCAGCAGAACTCAGGGTGAAGCCTGCATATGATATTTATCCCTCTGGCAGCTGCTCAGACTTCCATTTTGAAGTATAGAGAGAAAGAAGACGACCCAAGCCCTGGAGATTCATGGAATCCCTCAGAAATCCTGAAGTAAAAGCTACTGAAGATGAGACGTCTGTGTTGCCACTGTTCTCCTGACCTTCGTAAAATGATAAAAAGATGGCTATACGGGTTAATATCAATGTACATGTTACTCAAAATCCCTTCTTTACTATGCCTAGATGACCTTTGCAAATCATAGAATCTGTGTAACTCAGGACTCAAGCATGCTTTAAAATGCTAACCGCACTTAAATGACATTTTAAATCCTGTATCAACCCTAAACCGCACTTTACATTATTAACAGCTGTCATTTTTCATCATGTTCACTGGGGTAATCGCAGGCTCCACAGTAAACTCTGTCAGTCCACCACAGCTGAAATAGTGTGTGACTGCACAAAAAGGAGAGACAGCGACAGACTGATTTTCCAGGGAAATCAAACAGAATACTCCAAAGACCCGTGGTGGGATTTATAAAAGGGACTGCACTAGAGGTCTTGGTGACAGTATATGTGCTTTTTTATCTGCCAGACAAGACATACAGTCCATGAGTCATCAGTATTGATTGTCTGCCACTGATCTTCATGATACTAACACGCCCTCAGAGACAAAGGTCAAGCGCAATCACAAGAACGTGGAGACCATCAAGGATCAAGACAAATGTCTGCAGGCTGAGGGCTTTTGGAGAAACAGCAAACAGAGTGCACATAAACACATGGAGCTGGTGCAGGATGGGTAATCCAGACACTGTGTCTGACTATCAAGGTTTCTGCCAGCACTATGCTGACATAATGCTCTACTACATTATCTCTCCTACCTGTTCTGCTCTGTTCAAGGCTCAAACCATCTCCTGCTGACAGGGCCAGCCCTAAAACATCATAATGCATCTATTCCAAGTAGGCTCTCTTTCCCCCCCGGAGGTTGTAGTTAGCATCCCATACATCATGGATTGATGTGCCTGTCCATGCACATGAAACCCTAAAGACCTCTGAGGGCTGTGAAGCAGGAGGCATGGTATGTATCTGATTCTGCTCAAGTAACAAAACCCGACAAATAACATGAAGATGACAAAGCAGAAATCATCAGGGGCAATTTAAAGTCTACATTTGAGAAGATTTAGTCTCTTGGACAGTTATGTTCCCGTGTAACTTACAGCACCTCGTCGATATTTCAGTCTCACACTGACAGTTACAGTCGCTCAAAGGTGAAGAAGAAGATGCAAAAAACTGGACTGACAATGAATCTGGTGGAAACTGCTGGTTCAATCACCATCATGCATGTTGCTGCTGGTTGCTATGGGGTCAAACTCCCAGTTGCATGTTTCCAGATGTGGTCAGAAAAGCTCTGCTGTGTTCAACAATATCCATTTTCTGCAATCGACCCATTTTCCACGAGCAAACAGTATAAAAGGACAGAAGCAAAAGTCTGGTCTAGTTGCAGCTGCACATCACAGTGTGGCAGTGATGCACTGGATGGACTCTGATTTACAGATTGCAATGAGATCAGGGACAAATTTCAACTTTTTTTAAAAGGACCAATGGAGGAAAAACAGTAGAACAGGGATTATTTGTATGATTTCGTGTCTTACTTCTCCTGTGTGTTGTGTTCCTTGATGGCTGCCAGTGAGCTCAGGCTGCTGGAGCCCTGCAGCAGCCTGCAGGTGGCCAGGTGTCGCTGGTACTGCTCCTTCAGACACACGTTCTCCGTGCACAAGTCGGACACTTGCTGCTCCAGCTCCTCGATGCGTCCCCGCTGCCTCTCCAGCAACTCCTGCTGCGTCTCGATGATCCTGTTGAGCTCCTTCAGATATTCCGCAGCCCTGGTCGGGTTCTCCGTCGGGCTTTCCATGTCGCTTCCACCGCTTGTTGTGTTTTATTCCTCTCCCCTGTGAGCTGCTGTGGTTCCCGGTTGTATCGCGGAAAGCCCTGGGGTGTGTGTGCGTGTGTGTGTGTGTGTGTGTGTGGAGGGGGGGTAGTTAGACGGCACGGTGGGATTCAGGCGTAAAAAGCTTTAAGCGCAACGATTCAGCAGGTTGCGCCTTTTACGCCGCGCCATCGTGGCGGAAAAAAACACAAAACAAGACACGAAACTAACAAAAGCTCCCAAATCACGTATCAGGCTGCGAATGTCACCGGGCGTGAGAAGCACCAGAGAACCATGTGAGAGAGGAGCGGAGCGGGCTCTCCATGAGGTCCGTGCGCGTCCCCCCCTGTCGGCGGCACGCTGGGACATCTTCTGTGAACCTTTCTCTCCATGCTTGTTCCCGTGACTTTTCGAAAACAGACGCGCGCTGTCAGGGAGGAGGGAGGGAGGAAGGGGGAGTGGGGGGGCGGGGTCTTCAAGTTTTTATGACTCCGCAGGTCGCAGTGAGAGCTGTAATGGCTCTGCAGCTTCTGAGGGGGTGACACACGGCTGCACGTCCAGGAGTCAGTTCATGTGTGTTGTTAGTTTCTTCAGTGCGTGTTTTCTGCACATTGGCACCGTTTGCACGCGCCCTCTTCTCCTTCTACATCGTTTAACTTCATTACATCTGTTCTGGAGGCTGTTACACAGTCTGCCACACACTGCAGACGTGTTTACTGTGCAGTCTGTCTGTGCCCCCCCCCCTCCAGTGGATTGATGGTGATATGTATAGGAGCAGTGTGTGCACTTGAATCAAAAACGACTTAAAGGGATAATTTACCAGCAAATGAAAATTCACTCATTATCTACTCAGCACTGTGCCGATGGTGGGGTGGGTGAAGTGCTTGAGTCCTCAGAACACTTTAGGAGTTTCAGGGGTAAACAGCGTTGCAGCCAAATCCAAATCCAATTGATGTAAATGGTGACTGATTCTTCAACTGAAAAAGAAAGACAGAAGAAAACAGGCTCCATACTGCTCCTGTGGTGTCCTCCAAGTGTCCGTAAGCCCCGACTGGACTCAAAATGGGTCATTTACATTATGATTTTGACCATGGGGTGTTCGTCTCTTCCACCTGCTGTGAAAGTACAAAGAAAGTGATAATACCATAATCCTTTGCTGGTTGTGATTTTAAAATTGGAACTGAAAAATGTAAACTTTAAAGCTATGGTCAGTCAAACAAATGCACCTCCAACCTATACTGTAGCCAGTCACCAGGTGGCGATCAAGATGCTTTGGCTTCACATTTGGGAAGCAGCCCTGTTGTCAATCTACATAAGCAGTCTATGGGTTGTATATATGAGTACAGCTAAGTGCTAACATGATCACACTAACAAGGTGAACATGACAATAATGTTAACCACGTTTACCATCACAGTTTAGCATGTTAGCATGCTTCCATTGGCTAATTAGCACAAACTACAACTGAGGCTGAAAGAAATGTAATTGGTTTTTAAAGTATTCAGTTCTAAACCAAAGTATCAGACAAGTTTAATTATCTGTATTTTGGTCTGAATCACATAAACCAACCAACAGACAATCAGTAGATGACAACATCCATCAATCCATCCAGTCTCTGTACCGTTTAACCTTGGAGGGTCACAGGGGGCGCTAGAGCCAAGCATATCACAGGGCCAAATAACAAGAGATGCAAATCAATAATCGGTGATAATAACTGAAAGGTGAATCAGTGACAGACTCTGAGTAATGTTTGCATCTTGTGATCCACCCAAAGCTTCGTACACTCTCACACTTTAGAGCATGTTGTCAAAAAACTCAACCACTCCCATATCTCCTGAGACTCTTTTTCTTTTGAAACATTTTCCAAACGTTTAGATGAGATTCTGTTTTCCTGGACGCAGTTTTATTGCAGCTGTAGTGAGGATGAACACTTCATCCATGACAATGAGGGCTCTACCTTCATGAGGTGCCACCTGAGGGCTGCACTCGGATGATCTGACATTACTTGAGACAGTGGGGAGCAGTGTGAGGACACAGTGTACAGATGGAGAATATTAGGTTTCTCTCTGTGGCTCACTAATCCACATGGCAGCAGACCAAGGAGGAAGGAGGGAGGTCCCACAATGCCACCCAGAGGGATGTACAGTCCACAGGCAATCGGCACAGACAGTTGTCGCACGTTCCTTGAACACACAATCAATCATCTTTCTCTATTGTCGGCCTTTTAACGTCAAAACAGTCACATTCTACGAGCAGTGCTGGAAGGAACGGAGACCAGAAAGACTGGAAAAGCAGGAAACGGGTAAAAAAAGAAAACCACAAAAATATCACAACATACACTCAGATTCCTCTGAACCCTGATATTTTCATATTTTCTAGTCCACAATTACACCAGCAAACCGCACAGCTCAATCATCAGTCATATACATTCAAGCCACGGAAGTGCTGGGACTCGTGACTCGTGGAGGAGGAATGCCTTCCCCCCACAGAATATCAGCTGCTGGAAAACATATGACTTGTCGTTATTCTCCTGGGCTCCGTCCTTTTCTTTCTCTGGGTGACCAGTCACGCTGGGGCCAGTGCGGGTGCCAGCCAGGGAGATTTATTTTGTGAAATCGCTCATATATTTGCACTGAGGCAAAACCACTCGGAAGCGTCAGTTGTGATGGAAGAAAGGCCCAAATCATTTCACCAGCAGAGTGGAAAACCTTTTTTTTTTTTCACCCCTCAGAGGATGCCAAATAATCTCTGCTGAGCCAACAACCACCTCGTATAAAACGTGTGTGATGGATCTGAAGTGTAACACACGAGGGGAACACTGGAGGCAATAATGTCATTTTCTCAATTTTCTGATATTTATGAACTATAATACATAATTAAAGTCATAAATATCAAAGCCAAAGAGGGAAGGGAGTTTCCTCAGTGTTGCAACAGTATACAGGGAGCGGGCTCAGGTTTGTGTTGACATGTTTTTATGAGGAGACTGGAACTTGTTTTCAGATATGTTCACAAGCTGAAGCACTTTTTTTTTCAGAGGAAACACTCAACCTTACAAATCCAATAAAAATCCACTGTATGTGAGTTCATTCACTTTTCCCAAGGAGGTTATGTTTTCATCTCTGTTTGTTTCTTTTGTAGGATAATATAAAAACCAATGGACGGATTGATACAAGATTTGGTGGGGGGATGGGGGATGGGTCAGGGAATAGTCCATGAAATGTTGGAGTGGATCCGGATTGTTATGTTTTGTTTGTTTGTTTGATTGATTGTTAGCAGGATTACACTAAAACTACGCAAACAATATCCATGAAATATTGTGGAGCTGTGAGACATGACCCAACGAAGAACCCAGGCGTTGGTGCAGATCTGGATCAGTGTATGGATCCAGGATTGTTATGTTTTTTTGCATTTTCCTTGATTTCTCAGAGAATAATTCACAGATCTTGATGAAAAATCAGGCACATTATGGTTCCAGCTGTGACACTAAATGAACATTTCTGATTTTCTCTAAGATGAGAGACCTGTTTTCCAGACAGACCTTCTCACACAGTCCTCCAGAACCAGTGAGAGTTCTCCCTCAGCGCACACCTCATTGATCCCCTCCACTGACAGCACAGCAAGCCATCTGGAACAGTGGCGGCTTTCCCTTCAACCCAGGACGCGGCACGACGGCTCTCAGCTCGACAGGCTGACAGGTGGGGGCTTATGCAACCCGGGTGCTTTAATGGAGAAAATAAATTGAGTGTCATTTCAGCTTAACGTGGATGAACGCCTTAATGAGCTGTGTTCTGTACAGTTTAAAAAAACTCACATGCCTATCATTTGATGGGAGTCATTTCCACTTTTGACTCATTTTAACTGAGACGGACAGTAAATCAAAACTACTGCCTCTGCTGCCTCTGCTCTGCCCTACAAGCAGCTGCTGGATTAGATAGTGTACACAACACAACACAACAGGTTTTCTTTTCCTTGGCCTGCCAGCATCTTCAGAATACCCCTGAGCCCCCATTGTGGCGATAGCCTGAGCTGTAAAGCTGCTGGTCCTGCTGCAGTAGCTCATAAACACCTCTGGGGCATGAGTGGAGCCTCTGTCTGCCTGACACCCCCTCTGAGAAATAAAGGGCTGGTGGGAATTGATGCAAAGGTTGCAGCTGGTGGTGTGTTGCATGTTTATGGGTTGTATGTGCCTGTACTCACAATTTCCACAGATTAACCACGAGAAATAACACTAGATCTGAAACGTTTGGTCAATTAATCAAGTAGTTGATCGACCGGGAAACTAATCTGTCAGAATTTGTCTTTTTTTCCACAATGATGAAAGATTTATTTTTGAATCTTAAATTAAAGAATCTTCTTTGCAGCACAACATTGAAAACTGAATATCTGCAATGTATATTTGTTTGACCAGTTATTAATAATTATTTTATATTTCTTTTAGTAAAAAAAAAAGCATTGAGAAACTGGAAAAATATACTTTTTCCAACATTTTGTATACAAAGCATTTATGTGATTCAGAAAAAAACAACCTGTATGATTCAGCAATAACAAAGATAATCATATGAAGTAAAAACAAAACAAATGCAGAAATGTTTTAATAGTTAAATATTAAATGCAAACGCAGTGAAAATCCATGAGTGAGTCTGACAGCCGCAGCCCTGAACTGCACCTTAACTGATGTTGAGCAAATCGTCCTGTGGTGCACGTCCTGCTCGGCTCACCTACTCGAGGTTGTGCAGCAGTTGCTGACATGCGGCCAGCTGCTGAGGGCATACAAATGAGCTCAGTGACTGGGACCCACCACAGCAGCCCCCGAGCAGTGTCACAGACAGATGGGAGATATTTGATCAGTGGTCAAAGACCTTTACTGATCCTCAGGGAACAGGAGAGAAAGACACCCCCCACCACCTCTCTCATATCCCTCTGTTTGTCTGTAATACACAGCAGTGGGATCTCTGTGTGTGTGTGTGTGTGTTCTGGCTTTTGGATG